TGGTGATATGGGGATATCCTATGGATATCTGAGTACAATACAGTTTTAGTGGCTAGAACAAACTCATCTTAAGTTTAAGTATTATGAATACCTGTAATTAATAAATAGCACCAAACTATGGATATCTGACCTACAACCTGTTTTGTTTAGTCCATGAACTAAGAATGGTCTTTTCATTTTTAGATGGCAAAGGAAAGCTGAAAGTAGATTATATTGTGACACATTAAAATTTCATTGTTTTATAGGAGAATTGAATACTTTTATTTATTAAAAATTTAAATACATTTAGTTTTGTGTATGTATGTATGTGTGAGCTCATGCCTTCCACGGTACATGTGTAGAGAACAGAGGGCAAATTGAGAGTTCAGTGGCAAGCATTTCTACCTGATGAGTCATCTTACCAGTCCTAACATTGAGTACTTTTGACTGTCTCTGTGGCCCAGGAAATATAAAATATTTTCTGTCTGGCTCTTTACAGAATATATCTACCAACCTTTGAAATAGATCATAGTTTCTCTGTATAACTGAATTAATCAAAAAAGGCCTTAAAATACTGTCCAGATTGTAAGCATATAATGTTTTACATTCAACTCCTTGAATGTTTGTGAACCTAGTGTAGTTAATTAGAATGAGGTTAAGACCTTGTGTAACATAAGTAAATTAAATACATACATGCAAATGCATCTATACACATGCATGAGACTGCTTGGCGTTACTTTCAAATTCTACCTTTTTAGAGTTTGACCAAATCTAAGATTAAAACTAATTAGTTTCTACTTATCTGTGCTTTAAAGTACAGAACTATTCTGGGAAGTATGTTTAAATTGAGTATAATATTAACCTATCAAGGTTATTAGGATGGTCCTTAAGGACTTTTCTTTCCTGATTTCTCCTTCTAATGAAAACATCATCAAATACATTGTGATAAAAGTAAAATAGGAAATCAAATGATATACAATAAAAAAGGCACCATTTAAAATTGAGTGTTAATCATTTTTCTTTTTTAATAGAACTTCAAAAATCAGATTACATGGAGTATGCTGGGAGACAGTACTATTTAGGAGACAAGTGTCAGGTTTGTTTCTTCTTTGAAGATTAATGATTTGTTTCTACAAGATTGTAGTTTTAATCATTAATGTGAATCACTCAAGCTGGGTATGGTAATCAGTATCTGCCATCCTAGCACTCGGGAAACTGAGGAAAGAGGATCATACATTCAAGGGCAGGCTGAGCTATATAGTTATAGCAATACCTTGTCTGAAAAACAACAAGGATTGGGAATATAACTCAATGGTAGAACCCTTTCCAAGCATGCCTAAGGTACTTGTTTTGATGCCCAGCAGCAATAACAAGAAAATAATCCCTGTGATCAAGACTTCCTTATAAAATGCTTATAAAAAAGATTTCATTGTTCATATTGTGTTAAATATTAATTGCAAACTTTTGTCCTGAGTAGATGTAAGCCAGTATATGCTTCCTCTAATCACCTAAACTAGCCATGGTCTCAATTAGATTGAAAAAGTAGACACTGAATTCCATTTGGATAAAAATGGTATTTTTTTTTTCCCTAAAGACAGACCTGTCAGTGTATAAGGCCAGATACATTGATAGATTAATGATTTCTTCCTATTTTTCAGGTTTGTTTGGAACCAGGTGGAAAATACTATAATGCTCACATTCAAGAAATTGGAAATGATAAAAAATCAGTAACAGTTTTTATTGAAGAATTGGCAGAAAGGTAAGAATATAGTAATTTAAGTTCATAAAATCTTTGGCTCTTGGTGCCTTTTCACATTGAGCTGAGAATTACCAGGATGCTAGTGAGAGGACAAAAATTGTATCTGCTGACCTAATTATTTTGAATAATAATGTTATCTGTTAAAGTGTGAAGTCTAATAAAGGTATCACATATAAAAATTCCGAAATCCTAGGCATTGCCAATTTATTAGATATATTACATTAAGTACAACAGAAGTTTCATATAAAACTATTCAGAGTAATTTGAAAGATGGTTTGTTGAGCTTCTGTCAGTATCAAGATGAATTACTCCATTTGTTTTCATACTTTGCCCAGAGCCCTTTGAAAACATAAATTGAACCCAGTCCACTAAATTTCTTAATAAATATGAGGTAAGGCCCAAGAATTTGAATTTATTTTAAAGGAGAGAAGAGAATTTATTCTGGAGTCAAATATGAATTTGAATTAATAATGTTTTCATGTAATGCTAATATAATTGTAATTCCGGCAGCTTAAAACAATAAAGTTAATCTCTCATTTACAGTGTTCATAGTGAGTCAGTTAAAGAAGCCTAAGTCAATCAGGCTTTCATTTTTTATTTTATTTGGTTTGGGATATGGACCTAGGACCTTGAACTTGGTAGACAAACACTTTACCACTGAACTGTATGCCCAGGACATACAGTATGGACAGGGTATCACTAGTTGACCAGGCTAGCCTTGAGCTTGTGTTTATACTCAGTTTCAGGCCTAAGCCATCAAGCATAGAGGCCAGAAGCTCTGTTTTGAAATGAGCATTCACAATCAGAGGCAAGGAAAACATAAGGATGTTATAGCACTTGATGTTCCTTAAAACATCCTACATTTTATTGACTAAAGCAAGTGGTTTAGGTAGCTAAGACCAATGTGAGTGAGGTTAGGAAATGATCCTCTTTCAGGGAGAGGAAGCAAATCTCTGTGAGCTGATATAGTCTACTATGATATTTCTTCTACATGTGAACTATAGGCACTACAGACAGCTGTTAAATTGTATAAACTCCTCTTAGGTTGTCTAGGCTAAGAAACAACTCAAACAAATGAATAGGAAAGCTAGTGTAATATGTTTAAGGAAAATGTGCTAAATAGTGAAGCAGGAGAATTGGAGTATGTGTACTGAACGAGAGTTGAATATGTTCTGCATTGGCTTCATAGTACCTTTCATTTCAAGGCATTCGCTTCCTCTGGCTAACTTAAAACCTGTTACCCAACTGGCACTTTTTCCTTCGTGGAGTGTCATGACAAGTCGACAAGGAAGAGGTTATCCAAAAATAACTGGAGGTTATTTCCCAGAAATAGGTTTGTATCCTAAAGGGTTTTCTTTTAGTTTTTTTTTTTTTTTTTTTTCCTTTTTGTAGCTCCTTTTACTTACCAACATTGTACTTTTTTAAAGGTATATTGTTCTAGTTTCCTTTATGTTGCTATGATAAATACCATGACCAAAAGCCACTTGGGCAGGAATTGGTTTATTTCAGCTTACAAGTTAACAGTCTATCATTGAGGGAAGCCAAGACAGGAACCTAGAGGCAGGAACTGAAGCAAAGACAACAGGAATGCTGCATAATAGCTTTCTCAGTTACCTTTCTTATAGAGCCGAGGTCAACGTGCTCTGGGATGGCACCATTCACAGTGGGCTGGGACCTCCTATATGTCAATTTACAATTAAGAAAATGCCTCATAGACACGATCTTGGCCAATCCAAAGGAGCTAATTCCTCAGCTGAGATGCCTTCTTCACATATGTTAGTAGTTTGTGTCAAATTGATGAAACCTAACCAGCACAGAAGTCATATGATCTGTTGTAGAATAGGGTTTCTTCTATACTACTGTGCTTTGGGATGGCTAATGCTTTGTTGGGGAGGAGGGGGTAGCCTGTGATTCTCGATTTCTATCCAATAATTTCTAGCAGCTCTTTCTGTTTATTATAAACTACAAAAGTGGTCTTTAGGCATTGTTTGATGTACTCTGTAGAAGGGAGGTGGCAAAATTGTCCTTGATTAAGAAACTACTTTTCTAGGGGATTTCATGCAAACTTTAACTGGTATAGATTAAAAATTTTTTTGAGGAACTAGGAAGCAAGATTATATATATTTGGCATAATTTTTTAAGAATAATAATGTGACTAGATTACTCAGTATTTTTCAATGACCAAAAAATGTGTACTAAAGAGAGTACTGACATACCCATCAACACAGAAATTGCTTGCTTGTTTGGCCCTTCCAAAAGGTCTAGTACATCCTTGAAAACTGCAAAAATTCCCCTCTTACATACTTACTTGATTTATTTCTAAGAAAAGCATCTGGCAGTTTAAGATCCTATGAAGGTGGAAGAACACTAGGACCTTTTACTTCTTCTATGAAACTTATTTACTATGTATTTGCTTTCTTAAAGTTGTGTCAGAGATGAGCATGAAGCAACGGAAGAAATTCTTTAAGAAAGTTCGAGGGAAAGAGATTTATATGACTATGGCTTACAGCAGAGGAGACCCCCTCTTCACGCCCAGGCTTGAGCATAGTGTGCATTATGGACATGACCCTCTACTGCACTACCCACAGACTGCTGGCCATATTATGTCCAGTGAACATTTCTATTCTCCACATTCATCTCAGAGACAAGGTCGGGGATATGGGATGCCCGGGTGAGAATTCATTGATTTTCATGACAATGTGCATTTTTGTCTGTCTTCTAAATAACTTCTAGACTGAATTATAGTAGAATTGAGAAATACTGCTTTTATACTTTGTGCCAAAATAGAGCATAGAGCTCAGGCATAAATTCTTGTCAATCTTTAGCATATTAGTATTTTCGTGGTCTACAAAAATATGACTGAATAGGATGTCATAAAAATGAGTGACCTTATATATATATACTATTGTATCCATTAATGATGGATATGCCTAATACCAGGGCAAACGTCTTTCTAGTGAATGTTTTCAGAAAGGTGTGTTACATCTATTTACCTATTGAGACTGACAATTAAATAATTGTTTTGCTTTTTCTTTCTTTCATCTCAATTAATAGGCACAACATGCCAAGTCCTAAAGTTGGGTTTTACCCTGGCCCAGGTAGAAGGTGTTGCCACAGCTATGATAATGTCTCTTATAGGTCTCGGTAAGTGTTTTTTTAATGTGTTGAAAGTCAGGGGAAAATGGTATATATGATTTTATTGCTATGATACTGTGGACTAATGTTTTTTTTTTTAAAAAAAAAAAATCAGCTTTGAAAGGATGTTGGCTTTTTATCATGAAGGAATATTGAAGTTTGAGGTGTTTATTACTGAGAAATTAGAAATGAGTTACTATCATATTTTAACCTATTTCTCCTTTTTGCTTTCCACACGACAGTTCTTTTAGGCGTACTCACCGTCAGATGCATTGTATGAATAAGGAATGCCAGTATGGCTTTACCCCAGGGAATGGTTTGGAAGAAACTGTTACTTTTTATGCACTTGAAGAAGGGAATGAGAGTGCTTATTCAACTTTGCCTGTAAGTGGGTGAGAATGTCACCATTTGTTTTTTTTAAAGGCCCTATGAAGAAATGTTACATGATGCCCCCCCTCAGGGCCCAAGGATCAAACATAGGGCCTTATACCTACTCTACATTCGATCTATAGCCTCAGCTCTAATTTTTACATTTTTATGTGAACAATCAAGAAAAGCCCTAGGTCCTTCTTAGGGCCTTACACACACACACACTCTACATTTGATCTACATCCTCAGCCTTAACTTTTAACAATTTTGTGTGAAGAATCAAGTAAAGCCTTATCAGAAATCATGGAACTTAGAGCATATAATGTTGAAAAGAGATTTTTTTAAAATCTCCTGCTTTTAGAGAAGGAGAAACAGGTAGACAGTTTTGCCTATATTTGAGTTAACGTTTTCTGTTTTATTGCTTCATGTATTTCGGATTCCAGTAGTAAATTTGAAATATTCGCATACTTAGGGTAGTAGTCCATGGTTTAGTTTTTAGCTTCTTTACTTCAGAACATTTTTTTTAGCCTTTTTTTTTCTGACTGTAGGAAGAACTGCATGTGTGTTTATGTCTTTGGTACAGAACCATGAAGGTCACCCTACAGTAGTTCCTGTTACTTCAGAATACTGTGCTGCAAGGCAGGGCCATAACTCGGGCAAATCGACTGTGAATTTAGAAGTGACCAATAACCAGTGTGATAATGGTGAGTCAGTCACTATGCAATTTTTGAAAAAATGATTCTTGTGACTTTTGTATGTCAGAGCTCAGAAATACTGACTTGGTATTTTACCCTTTTCTGGTAGCTTGAAAGATTTATAAAGATTTATATGTTTGGGACCAGTGAGATGGCTCACTGGGTATAAAAAGTACTTGCCATGCAAGCCTGATGACCTAAGTTTAATCCCTGTAACCCATGTAACCCAAAGAACTTGAGCACTGTATATTACTATTTATTGAATCCTATATACTAGCCATTCCAGTAATTATGATTTAATGTAGTCATTACTGTATTTGTTGGAGAAATAGCACAGATGTTTAATATATGAGGAAATTGAGTTTCAAAGGTCAATGATATAGCTAATGCATAAAAATAAATATAAATAGTAATAAATATCAGAGGTATAGTTTTCTAACTTCAAGATACAATTTTACACATCAAAATTCACTCATTCAAAGTTTACAGTAAGTGTATTTTTTTCTCCTATATTCAAATTCAAATAATCATCCCCATGGTTTCATCATCCCTGAAAGAAACCCCATTCTTTATATATACCAAACTGGGATTTGTCTTTAAAGCTATATGCATATATTCCTTTAACAGTTATGTCATCTAGCACTATGGAGTGTATTTATTTTTTACCGTTTACTGGTCAACGATATCTGTGGATTGAAACAATTCTGAAGGATTGTGTGTCTTAAGGAAGTGGGAGGCATTTTTAATGAATATTAATTTCCTCTAGTACTCTTTCCTGTTACATAGAATAAAATATTCTTGACACCTAAGGGAATTTTGAGCAGAAATTTGTACTCTTTATCTCTGGCTTCAGTCTGTTGACTAATATGAAAGCTCAAATCACTTTCAAGCACTTAATAGTTTTGAAAATATGTTCATAAAATTTAAAAAAGCAAATGTTGGCCATTTGACTACTGAGTGAAAAAGATCTATGTACACATACTTATTTCTTTTTTTTCTAGGAGGATATCATGAAGATTATCCTTATCCTTCTGGTTAGTGCAATCTAGATGTAATTTGATGTTCTTCATTATTAATGGATTTTCAAATAAAATAATGCTCATTTTTTACTTTGGCTAGGTCCTCTAGAACCAGGCTATGAATCTCCTGGTGTGTATAGCACAACTGTATCTACAGCAAACCTGGTAGGTATTTAATAACAGTAAACACTAGGCTACTGTTCTAAGAGTTATGCATATAAATATATCTAAATCAAAGCAACCTGTGAGTCAGTTCATGTTCCCATTTTGTATATAAAATTGAAATGTAGAAATTAACTCATTTAAGATCATATTTTTATGAACTCAATCTGTTTAGGAATATTTTTAATGTGAACTGATAGAAGAGGAAATTCTAACACTGACAATGACAAACTTATGTTTCAGTCAGTCAGAATGAAGTGTAAGTCTAACTGTAGCAGAAGTTTGCTTCTTGGTTATACTGGATATGCAGGTGAGACTATAGTAGAGCTGACTTAGGGACCCATTCTGATGAGACCTTTAATCTGTGTTTGGCAAGGCAGGAAATAAAAAGTAATAAATGATGTACTTGTTTTTATAGCATCCACTGGAGATGACACAGATTGCTCTTTCATTTCACTACCCAAGGCATATCCTACTAAATACCCTGAGTTCTCTGTCCCTGGAAAGCAGAAGGTTGAGAATATTTTGATAGGACTAAGAACTATATATTCATTTTGATACCCTTCCCACAGAAAAAAATACTGGATATTGCCCTCAAAAAGGCCACCTAAAAGTGCCACTCAGTATAATCAAATGCAAATCCCAGAATTTATCCAGATAATGTGTAGAGTCTATATTGGATTCAGCTACAGGGCCCATCTTGTTCTTGAAGTAAAAAACTAAAAATAGAAAGTCTTACCCCACCCTCACAGCGCAATTTACAATAGTGGAGCAAAAGATGAAAATTTACAATAAAATTTCTATTTAGAATTCAGGAATATAGGAGAAACAATTACTGATTTGTAGCAAATCTGAGATTATACAGGCAGACATTATGAGGGTCTGTTGAGTGTGTCCCTCTGCCCCTATTGTGTGAGGACTGTTATGGTGTGTGAGGGCTCTTAATTACACCAAAGCCTGCCCTTCATTGGCCATATTTGAAGTGTGAATTGAAGAAGAATCATTCTTGGAAAGTGAGTACTGTTTTCATCCTACAGAAGATTGGGGACCCAAGAATTGTTTTATTTCACTTGCATGGTTCTGATTTATAGTCCCTTTACATGAGATTAATTGAGATTCTGTTTAGTTTTATATTTCAGTAACCATATTTATGAATTTTTTTATAGAGAGGTACTAATTAGATTTGCTATGATGGTTTTCTTTATTGTATCTGCTCTTCCTGCTTGGTTGCAAGTGTTTATCAGGCATGGATAGAAGAAAAGCCATACCTTAAGAAACTTTTCCATGAATAATTTTATCTGAATATGAGATTTACTGTACATATTCCTATTTTACCTATTGCTTTGACACATCGTGATGCACACAGATCTTAATGATTTGATTCATCCTGTGGAGTTGAGTTTTAACTTTTTGGTCATTCAAAGATTTATTATGTTTATTTTCGTTTTTTTATTTAATTTTATGTCTATGAGTGCTTTTCCTACACGTATGTAAGTGTACCCATGTCCTGCAGTGCCCTTGAAGGCCAGAAGAGGACATCAGATTCCCTGGAAATGGAGTTACGGATGGTTGTTAGGTGGGTGCTGGGAACTCAACCTGGGTCCTCTGCAAGAGCAGTCAGTACTCTTTAACAGCTGAGCCATTTCTCTAGCCCTTAGTTTTACTATTTTAATTATATTTTTTGAGAATTTCATACATGAGTATTGTATTTGCATCATTTCTACCCCTCTCAGTACCCCCTCCAACTCTTCCCATGTCCCTTTCAATTTCTTTTCCTTTAAACATTTTTTTACTATTTTTATTTTATGTGTATGAGTGTATTGCCTGCGTGTATATAAGTGGACCTGTGTTGTGCAGTGCCTACGGAGGTCAGAACAGATCTCCTGAATTGGATTAGGGATGTTATTAGCCACCATGTGGGTGCTGAGAATCAAACCTGGGTCCTCTGCAAGAGCAGCCAGTGCTCTTAATATATTGCACAGAGTCCATCTAATGATGCTCGTGTGTTCATGTGTTTAGGACTGACCACTTCTCACGGACTAGACTCTGGATTAAACTGATTCTCCCACTGTTAGTTTCTGTTGATTGCCTGTAACTCTTTGTCTAGAGGTGGGGCTCCATGAAGATTCCCCCATCCGCATTGGCATGTTACCTGTTTTGTCATTATGCAAATCTTGTTAGGCTACAGTATTGTGGCGATTTTATGGGTGCAGCTTCCCTTTCATATCTAGAATTCATTATCTATTAGCAGGTGTTTTGTTCCCTTAGTTTACAGTCTTTTCATCCATTCTTCCATGATGCTCCCTGAGCCTTAGGTATAACAGATGCATTATAGATGTATTAATTGGGTCTAGGCACCACACAGTTGCTTACTGTTTGCCTTTTGCTCAGCTGTGGAGCTTTAATAGACTCCATCTGTTGCAAAGAGAAGTTTTAGTAAGTGCTGAGAGCTACTGCACTTGTCTGTGAGTATAAGGATATGTATTTAGAATATAGTAAGAAATTACATTGGTCTGGGAAAATGGCAGTAGTAGATTCTGCTCTAGGGTCTATGACCTCTTCCACTATTTGTGCTTAGTTATGTGTATAGTACCAAGTATAAATTCCCTCCTATGGAGGGGGCCTTAAGTCTAGTTAGAAAGTTGTTGATTACCCTCAACATAAAAGTGCCATTATTGCACCTAGAGAACTGATTTTTCTGGGCCAGTTACTGTGATTTGTAGGCTGTACAGCTAGGTAGGACCATTGTTTTTTTCCTCCCTCATCAGCTTACATTAACACCTTCTGAAAGTGTGAGAGCTAGTCTTCAGGGAAGAGGCTTTCAGGTCAGTTTTAGTTCAGTTGCTTCAAGTCCTGTGTCCAAAGTATGTGGTGTCTTCAGCAATAGGGTCTTCAGGTTTAGCAACCAAGGGCTGTTACAGTCATGTGTATTATTTTGGGAGTCTCTTAGACTACCTTGAGTAACAATTTGAAGGGAGGTTTCCTTTGCTTGGCACTGTGATTTTTGTTAGGTAGCCCATTCAGTGATACCCATGCACTCACGTATATATTACATGTGTATTTTTCAGTATACTTACAAAATAATACATTTCCATATGGTTTTTCACATACCGAAGTATTTTCATCTCTTTCTTTCTCTCTGTTCCTTTATAGCCATCCATTCTCCCCCAGTTTAAGTGCCCCTTATTTTCCCCATTTTCTGCTTGATAATGCCTGTGTCCTACTGTCCCCCTCTCTTGACCTTCCACTGTCTTCCATGAATCTTTTCCACTTTCTTGACTCCTGTGTTTACTTTAGGATATATACTCACATCTAAGGATTTGGAGCTAAGATCCACAAATGAGAGGGAACATGCATCACTTGTCTTTTTGAGTCTGGGTTACATCATTCAGTATAACACTGTATCGTTCCATCCATTTACCTACAAATTTCATGATTTTATTCTTTATTCTTACAGTTTCTAGTTCCATCCATTTAGCCACAAATTTCATGATTTCATCTTTCTTTACTGCTGAATAGAACTCCATTGTGTAAATGTACCATGTTTTCATTATCCATTCATCAGTTGAGGGACATTTAGGCTGTTTTCATTTCCTAGGTATTGTGAAAAGAGCAGAAACAAACATGGGTGATCAAGTATCTCTGTAGGAGACTATTGAATCCTTTGGGTATATGCCAAGGAGTACTGTAGCTGGGCCGTATGGTAGATCTCTTTTTAGTTTTCTTTTCTTAAAAATGTTTTTATCGTGCTTTTGTAATTTCATACAGCAGTTCTTAATCAAATTTAGACATCCTCCTCCATCCATGCCTCCTCCATTCCCCCACCAGACTTCATGTATTCTGCCATACATGTTTTTAGTTTTTTGAGAATACTCCACACTGATTTTCATAGTGACTGCACCAATTTGCAAATCCCACCAACAGTGAATAAGGATTCCCCTTTCCGCATATCCTCACCAGCATTTGTTGCCAGTTTTCTTCATCTCAAAGCTTTTGTTTTATCTTGCATAGCGTAGAGTTGAAATAGTTGCTCTGTAAATTGTTCCCTGTGAATTCCTATATGGAAGGACTCTTTGTCTCTTTCATTCTAACCTATAAACTACTAATTCATTCTTGTGCACTTCTGTCTGAAAAGACCTTACTAAACTCTCCAAGCAAGAATCAGAACACTACTGGCATTCATAATGCCAGTACTTACTTTCATCATAATCTTCCCAGTTAGTTTTGCATTACAGAAGCATCCTATTTCTAGTTATCAATTTCTGTTTTAGTTAAGCTAGGTTATGTTGCAACAACCCATCAAATCTCAGGGCTGTTAAGAGATAGGAAGTTGTACTTCCTATGTTAACATGTTAGTGCGGTTGATAGTGGACTTCATTGTAGTCACTTGGATGCAAGTTGATAGACTTATACTTTGACAATCATCTCAGCAAGACAAAAGACAAGAAATTAAATATTGATCATTAAGATATTTCACTTTTCAGTGGCCAGCAATTCACAAGCCATGCCTAACTTTATTTTTCATTTCATTACTATTATTGGCATGGTACTTGTGCAAATTAATGAGTTTCACTGATGCTGTTCATGCATATATCATGCATTGATCATGTCCATGTTTTCCCACCCTCCTCTTTCCTAAGACTCCTTTCCAGTCCTTAATCATTCCTCTTCTGCTTCCAGGTCTTCATTATTTTATTCAGTTTTTTAAAAGTTTCCACATATAAAAGAAACATGCAATTTTTTTCTTTTTGCATCTGACTTATTTCGCATAATGTGATATTGGCACTGAAAGGGCCTTCCTAACATATACCTAGGAGAATTGGAATATTTGTGAAGACCTTAAACATTGAGATTTTCTACTTAGGATTAATCTTAACCTTACTAACTTCATGTATTGAATTTTTACATTTAAAAAAAAATACGTCTTAGGAAGGGGATAAAAACTGATACATTAATTTTTTTTCCCCGCACCATAACATTTATACCATGTGCTTTTGAAAACACCATCTCTTGGTGCTGGAGAGGTGGCTCAGTGATTAAGAACACTGGTGGTTCTTGTAGAGGGTTCAGTTCTTGCACGCACATGGTGGCTAACAGCCATCTGTCACTCCATTTCCAAGGATTCTGATGCTTTCTTCTGACCTCCGAGGGCATTGCATGACACAGGTGCACTTACATACATGCAAGCAATATGCTCATACATGTGAAATAAAAATGATAAATATAAAAATATCCCCACCATCTCTTATCCTGGGCGTTGTAGTTCATGCCTTTAATTCAAGCCCTCTGGAGGCAGAGACAGGTGGATCCCTGAGATCAAGGCCAGGTGGGGCTCTAGGGACGCTCTATCTCAAAAATCCAATTTAAAAAATAATAAAAATACCATCTCTTGAAATAGCTATCCAAATGAAAAGGTAAGTAAAAAACTTGCCCATTGTGGTTGACAAGAGGGGACATTCTTTTTAAATTTACTTCTCGCATTCCATTTTGTTCTGAATTTATTTTATCACATTACCACCATTTTTAGTGCCTCCGTATGTTCCGCTCTGCCTGTTACTCTACTTGTATCATACACGAGTCTGAACCTTTCAGAGTCATCTTTCATGAAGTCATGGGCTTAAATCAGAGGAAAATGTATTTGAATATTACTAATGTCTCTTAAATCATGCCTTATAGTTTATACCTGATAAACCAGTTACCCTAGTCTTGTCCCAGGCCACATCTTCATATAGAAGGCTTTATCTCAAAGGTATTGTTAGTGTTAGTGTTTGAAATTTTTTTTAGGGAAGAAGGGCCACAAAGAAAGTTTAGATTTCAATCTTTATTTACATTTTAGTTTTTACAATGAGTCTACATTGGATGTAGGGATGACCTCTGTAACCTGTTAAGAGAGTAGTTAACTAAATCAGGGACTTGTGTGATAATTTCAGCACAGACCTTAATCATTTAGTTTTTGATATTGAAACAAATAAGATGTTTCATTTTTATATTGTTTGTTTTCTTGATTTCCCTTTATTCAAATGTATGTTTTGAATCATTAAAGTCTCTTCAGGACAGAAGACCATGTTCTATGTCTCCTCAGGACACAATTACCTCATGCAACTATCCCCAAAAGGTAATCTTCAAAGTGTTGCCAAACAGTCACTTATAGTGGTCTAAATAGATGAAAATGAATTTTTTCTTTTTCTTTCCCTTCAACATGATTTTGAGCAGCTGGGTACATTCATTAAAGAATTATTGTGCCTTCTGTTGCCTGGCACAGTAATTAAATCCATTCAACAACTTGATAAAACATCTCTTGCGTTCCAGACACAGCTTGCCTCCATTAGACTCATGGTCTGCTGTGAACTTTTAATGTCATGAATCAATAGTAAATGACTTGTCAAGTCTCTTATTTACTGAAACTTGTGAGTTTAGGGAGTCTGTACAGAAAAGGTAGCTGAAACCAGTGGGGGAAAGGAAAAATGTGAGAACAGCATCTAGAACAGGCTGTGGATCACCAAATTTTAGAAAGTGAATAGAGAAGGAACAGTTACAGAAAAGTTAAGGAAAAAGGAAAAGTAGAAGACTGTATTGAAGCCCTGGAAAGAGAACATTTCTAGGAGCTATGTATCATTGCTGCCAAGGGCTTAAACAGGTAAAGATTAACACTAGTCTAGTAGGATTTGTTGCCATAGAGACCTCCGGTGACTTTGCAGTTCTAGATGATCAGAATGGATGAAAGCCAGGAAATGGAAAAAGACAGTGTTTACGAGCCTGTTTGTTGATTATTTCTGTGCACATTTTATAAACTTTGTGCTCTTGGAAATTAGTATGTCACCTTAAAGAACTGTGTCCTAAGCAGAAAAAAAATATAGTCCCATGAAGTTATAAAGTTACATTAAATACAGAACATCTCTTCTGCTTACAGGAAGTGTTTATGTGAAGAACTATATATGTAAAAGAAAATGAGTATATAGTACAAGTCTCTGGACTAATATGCAGGAAGCCCAGAGGTTATCTTTTTAGGAAGAAGGCACCTAGGCAGATGGAGAGCAGAAGCTGGAGGGAAACTTACCATTATATACAATTTGATGGTTTTATTTTTTTTTTTTTTTTTTAGTCATAGTAATGTGTTATCTTTACAGAAAAAAAAAAGCTCTCAAAGTAACCGGAAATCTTGCAAAAAAAAAAAATAATAATAACCTTATATAGCGTTTGTATAAAGACTGACTTCTTGAGGATCCTTGTTAATGCATTAGGTATTGTGTCAGGCTCATAAAGATTGACTTCTCAGACCAATTTCGTTCGAGAAGCCAAACTTGAGAATTCTAACCTTCCTTCCTCGTGTAGGTGCTGGGAAATTCTGCGGCCATTGTAGCTTCCTGTGCCACTCATTCTCCAGCTCCAGTCTTACCTAACTGTACAGAAGCTAATCAAGCTAGTGGTACCTCCGCAGTTTCCTCACAGAATGCTGTACAACCTCTCTTTGTACCTCCTCCTGCACAAGTCAGTCCAGGTTGGTTTTTAGTGCTTGATTTACTTTGGAAGCCTCTTTTTCTACTCATGACTATGCACATAGAGATATTTTACTTATTAGGTAGTATTACTTTAATTTCTACAAGCAGGACTGTTTAACCTACTTATAAAGTTTTTTCTCTCATTAAGGAATCCATGAGATTTAAGAGTTTCAATGAAAAGAGTTTCAGTTCTGTTTGTTTGGTTTTCTTTTTGTAGATAGGGCTCTGATAAGATTTTAAGCCTATCAGTTGCTCTTTGATATTTGAGTACTTACACTCGTTTCTACAACTTTGAGTTAATTTTTATTTACTGTATGTGTAGGGAGGCTTGCTGAGGACAGAGGATAACTATGAAGTCAGCTCTCTTTCACTTTTATATGCATTCCAGGAATCAAACTCGGGTCACCAGCTCTGTGTATCAAGTGCATTTACCCACTCGGCTATCTTGCTGGCCCTATGAGTTACTAGATAAGAATTGACTTAGGATGTTTCCTACTTCATATAGTAAATTTCTGAAAAATTTGTTGTAAATACCTTTGTAATGACTCATTGTCCTATAAATGTCAAAATAAATACTAAAGTCTGGAATGTAAGAAATCTGGGTTATAATCCTTGTTTTACTACTTACTAGATGTATAATATTGGATAAGTTATGAACCTTTCTTATTTGTCAGCTTGGGAATGCCAACCATAACCAATAAGAGGTTC